TGACAAATGAGGTGTCATTGTACTCGTAATGTAGTTTTCTATTGAAATAAGGAATAATATACCTGCCGTCTCATTTAAAATAAGAAAGTTAGGGTCACTTCCGGTCAAACCGGAAGTGATAACAAATAATTGAATACGTCAGATAATGCACATTTGGGTCATAAATAAACACACCAAATTTCATTTGTTTATTTGGAAAAATAAAAAAGTTATAGGGGTGAGCGGGTTTTGAAAAACACCCGGTATAGTATGTATCTCGCAACCGTTTTCGAATGAACTATTGATAAAGTTAGTGAATAGAAACAAGTTGGTATCAACGGAGCGGCCGCAGGTGAATCCATGTTGCTGATTTACTATGATTTCATGGAAGGCAACCGACACAATAAATAAATAAATAAATAAATACAATTTGCAAACATTGAGGTCCAGAAGTACACAGTTTGATATATGTACTCTTCATATAATCTGTAATAACATAATCAATTGTCCTGAGCTATTGGAGAAAGTTCCATTTCGAATTCCTCAGCGAGTAACTAGACAAATGGAGATTTTTGGTATAGATTTTCACAGGACTAACTATGGTTTGAATAGTCCTATGTGTAGAATGTGTAATGTGGCCAATAAGGTAATAAATGAGCTTGATATTGATTTTTTCAACATAAGTTGCAATACACTTAGAAAAAGTCTGCTTGAACTAGCATAGACCCTTAACTAGATTTGAATCTCATTTTCATTCATTTCTTTTTGGTATTGTTGATAATTTTAGTATATTGGTTAGGTAAGGATTTTTTTTTTCTAAACTGTGCTTTCTATTGTTGTTGATTGATGTGTATTTTTTTTTTAAGTATGCTACCATAATGGAAGTGATGTTTTTATCTTTCTGTTTTTTTTTAGATTTCACTGTCAACACTGTGATTGTGTTTTATCAATTTATATTTTATCTCAATCTTAAGTATTTTTCTTATTAATTTGAACTATGTACTCATTTGAAAATGGCAAGTCCGTCAATAAACATTTATTATTTATTTATTTATTTAAAACTTTTTCAATACACTGCTCAAATAGCTTGGGTATTGCTGAGAGGATACTAATTGGTCTGTAATTAGACATATTGTTTTTGCTACCTGATTTGTGGATGGGACAAACATATGACAATTTCCAGATTTTTGTGACTATTTCACTCAATGACCTATTAACACAGATAGACAGAACATCCCATTGATAAAATAGCTTTGTTTTGGTTGACTACATGTTTATGGGCCAGGGGGGGTGAGCTGTGAGAGCGGCTAGGAGTAGGGATTCAAATGATTCCGCTAACTCCGCCTCCATTTCACTATCGCATACTTGGCAACTCTGAAAATGAATCCAGAATCAGTGCTACAAAAGTGTATCTTTATCCTGATATTTTACATAATTTTAGAAAAAGATGCGGATACACTCACTGCGCACTGATTGACAAATGGAAATTGTCATAAAATACCTGTAGGTCGCATTTTGACATGACAATTGAATAGAAGCCGCTGATTGGTGGAAAAGTGGAATTCGAGGTGAAATTTATTTTTTTGCAGTGTTGCTAATTTTCATTGAAAAATAATCGCTTTCCACGTGTTAGAGAAAGATACAAAATAACACAAGGATTAATAAGTAGTGGGTAGAGATGCGGTTCCTGGCATGTAGTCAACCGATATTATTGTTTATTGTTCTGTCTATCTGTGTTAATAGGTCATTGATTTCACTAGAGTGTATTACACCGGTTATACAACTCACTGTACATTATTCCCATATGACACGAGGGGCTTAAAAAGTGATAAGCCTTTTGGGATTATCGCGCTTGGTGGCATTTATGGCAAATTCTATTATAGAATTTTTTTCAAAATTTTAAAGTATTAAAGTTTAGTTCGTTGTATAACCTTTTGAATACCACTCGATGTTTTAGGATTACCTAATACTTTTACCTGATACTCAACGCGTTACCAGCAACACTACTCCTCCTTCGGAGTCGTGGTGTTGCTGCGTAACGCGTTTCGTGACAGGTAAAAGTATTATCCGGTAATCCTGAAACCTCTTGTGGTATTACATTCGACAATAAATTCGGAATTCAGCTGACAATATTGCTACCTGGACAATACCAACAACATGGTATATTTCAGCGACCATTTTTTGACATTGTCTAACTGATATTTTTAATTTGAAGTTTTTATTCATATTTATTTTTGCATTCTATTTATTTTCAAAATCTTACGTGAAATATTCATGAAGAATACCACTCGAGAAAAAATTGTGTAGGCAAAATTGTTCTCAAGGTTTTATTAAAGTTTGTTGCTTTTCAGCAATTTCGCTCATGAATTTTCTGAGAACGTCTTTTTAAACTAATATCAACTTAATCACAGCCAATTATGATGCAACATTATGACTATCAGGTTATAGGGACTAAAAAAAACATAGAAATACCTATTGAAATTAGAAATGCAAGATTAAAATCTAGAATTACGTCTGGACCATGTCAAGATTGTCATAATTTTTCATTTTCGACCCCTAAACAAGACAGGAAAATGTTTCTTTTCCTCCTGTTATGGGCGCAATCTTTTTTTCTGATGAGGCGATGAGGAGTCTCTGTTTAGTATGTTGAAATTTGGAATAACTGACTCATGCCATGAGGATATGAACACAAATTCAAACTCTATTCTGATAACTAGCGAGAGTGACCCCTCTCAAGACAAGGTCTTGAAACTTGAGGTCATCATTTCTGATTTGAAAATGTGAATACAAAAAGAGTCAAGACTTGTGTCTGACTTGAAATAAGCTAAAACTAGGGCCTCAATTCGACTTTTTGTATTTGCTAGTAAAGGTGGAATTCCTTGCCAGTAATTTTGCAAAGAGCAGTTGGCAACACTGGTTTCGTGTAACGTAAACGCGACGCGGTTAAGTGGGAGAATGTTACCGCGAAGAATTTTTCAGTAGAGAATATTTCCGAGAATATTCTCGTTCTTCTCTCCTCACATCTCTACTTATGTGAAATAGTCATGACGAATACCACTCGAGAAAAAATTGTGTAGGCAAAATTGTTCTCAGGGTTTTATTCAAGTTTGTTGCTTTCCGGAAATTTCGCTCATGACATTTTTGTCATTCGCGAAATTGCCAAGCAACAAACTTTCATACCTTTCGAAAAGGACCCCGCACACCTCTTATGGGATTTGGGACTTCAGCGAAATTTAACCAAATTCTAGTATAATATAAATTTGACCTTTCTGATCAATACTTAGTATTGGCCCAACCTGATCCTATGACTAGTTTTTGAGATACAGGTAGCTTAATTTCCAAAAAATGTACACATTTTATATGTATTTACATCTACCTGTCACCTAATAATATACCAGGATGGACAGGTATTCTCACGCGCACATGTAAAATATGTACATTTCTTGGACATTAAGCTACCTGTATCTCAAAAACATAGGAACAAGTTGGGCCAATGAGTATTGATCAGAAAGGTCAAATTTATATCATACTAGAATTTGGTTAAATTTGGCGGAAGTCCCAAATCCCATAAGAGGTGTGCGGGGTCCTTTTGCCGACAAAATTTTTTCTCTTGTGATATTATATACAGGGTGATTCAAAAGCAAGCGGCATCCTTTCGGGAACGTATTTCTTGCATAAAAATAAGACAAAAAGTTCCTATTAACATGGGTCCGGAAATGCTTCCTAAAGGTACGGTTTGTTAGGAGAGTACGCGTCGCACAACTGACGACGTAAACGTCGTCATTAGTCAGGTATGACAGGTATGACGTACACCCGTTTTCTCACGTCAAAAGACGGGTGTACGTCATACCGGAACCAATGACGACGTTTACATTGTCAGTTGTGCGACGCGTACTCTCCTAACAAACCGTACCTTAAGGAAGTTACGCCCCTTCGAATAGGACACCTGAAAGAAGTATTTTTCTCTATAACTTTGAAACCTTTCACAAATGGATTTTGAAAATTGGTGTATTTTATAAACATTTGATGGCAATTAAGATACTAAATTGAAAGTTCAAACATTTTAATCAGAGGCGTCACGTACTGGGGAGGGTGAGGGTTAAAACATCCCTATTTTTTTAACTCATCAGGTTTTTGCGATTCTGATTGAAAATTCAGAAAGTATACAGTTTTTTACACAAAAAAGGTACTCTTGGTTCAATTCGATACAGCGTACCGTTTACGAGAAAATTGACTTTGAAAATTTTTTGATTTGCGTATGTTTCGCAAAAACCTGAGGAGTAAAAAAAAAATAGGGATGTTTTCACCCTCCCCAGTATGTGACACTGATTAAGATTTTTGAATTTTCAATTTAGTATCTTAATTGCCATCAAATGTTTATAAAATACACCAATTTTCAAAATCCATTTGTGAAGGGTTTCAAAGTTATACAGAAAAACACGTCTTTCAGGTATCCTATTCAAAGGGACGTAGCTCCCTTAGGAAGCATTTCCGGACCCATGTTAATAGGAACTTTTTGTCTTGTTTTTATGCAAGGAATACGCCCCCGAAAGGATGCCGCTTACTTTTGAATCACCCTGTATGATAAAATATTTTAGATACCAATAAATGCCATTATTTTTTTATTGATACTAGGGACATGGCAAACTGCTATTTTACCCATTCAGACCATTTTTAAATACATAAGTTGACAGTCCTTCAGCTCCTTCAAAATGGTTTGAAGATGGGCCCTTTGTAATGGTGTCTGGTCTAGGTAGAATAATGACTATTTTTCATAGCAGTAAAAAAAACTTATTACTATGTTTTCTTTAACTATTTCAGCAGTGGGAGCTTGGAAGTAGTAAACCGTCTTTTATTGAAAACGGATGCAAAACCTAAGTTAAAAGCATACTTTCATGACAAGCATAGAAAAATGCATACCTACCTTTTTACACTTATAAGTAACTATATGGCTCTTCTGGTTTATGTTGCTCAATAGTAGCAAGATTTATTTGTGAATGAAATGTGAATTCTTTTTTCAGACGAATCTACCTGTGTTCAAAGTAAAAGAATCTAGCGTCAGAAGACGATACAGCGACTTTGAATGGCTAAGAAATGAACTAGAACGAGATAGTAAAATAGTTGTACCACCTCTACCAGGAAAAGCATGGAAGAGGCAGCTACCTTTCAGAGGAGATGATGGTATTTTCGAAGAAGGTTTCATTGAAGACAGACGAAAAGGATTAGAAGTATTCATCAATAAGTACGTAAACGTAAAACTTGACTTTTTATTACCAAAATTACTATCAAATCTTTTCAGGATTGCTGGTCATCCGCTTGCCCAAAACGAAAGATGCTTACATATGTTCTTACAAGATCCAACAATCGATAAAAACTACGTACCCGGTAAAATTCGCAATACATAACCAGTGAATCAGATCGTTTTTAAATTAAAACTAAATGCCTGGTGCTAGGTTTTAGTATAAATCAAATTTAAAGAAGAAAAGCGTTTATGTGTTGTTTGAAGCTAAAACTGTGAAAGCCTAGTACTGGTGTGTTGGTTTGAATAATTTTATGAATAAGAAAATAATTATCATTTAAGAGATATTCCTAAAAATTTTGTTAGTTAGGTATGTATATCAATTTATTTTTATCTAGCTTATATTATTTTTCGTAGAAAATTTTATCCTTATAAATATTATAAAAGCGATGGATCTGTATATTATTTAAAAAAAAATGCATCTTTTTTAAAGTTAAAATAAAATATAAAGTACATATTATTATTATTAGGTTTATGCCGATTTTCTATGTATAGTGTTATTATAATTTTGTGTTATTTACAAAGTAAATCATGTAATATTTACTCAAGAAAATAAATTTATTTATATGCTAATCAATTGGGTTTACTACAGAGTCGTCTTGTCTCCAACTTTTTCTGCCTTTGAGCTCGATTATTTCTTGCCAGGTTTTACGTAGCAGTCTAAAAAATAAGAGATTTTTTTAAACACAATTATCTATAGAATTTAAACAAGAAAAAGAAGTTTATAGCATTTAATAGCTCAATAATAGTTGGTGACACAACTGCCACAATAACTTGTGTAATAAAACCAGAAAGCTGAATTCGACATTGTGATGCCAAACATTTGAAAAGTCCGCATTGATCTGAGTTCCACTAAAAAATTTATAGGTTGAGTAAAATTCTCAGGGCCGTCGGCAATTTTTTGGAACAGAAGAATTTGTTTGTTCTTTTCCTGCAAACCTTCTATTGTATACATTGACCTCATTGTATCAAACCTTGAGACACAAACTTGCTCTGCAATTCTTAGGGCCGACATTTCAATGTTACCTTAAAATCAAGTCTGCCCAGGCTCCCTTAAAGTTAAGGTAAACTTAACTTGTGGAAACTTTTGATATTTTGCTAAGAACCACAATCAAGATCTGTGCCAAAATCCAGCTTTCTGGTAAGAGCAATATATTAATAATAAAGAAACTTACACAGCTTCTACGCTCATATCTCCACAATTTGGCAAAATGTTTTTCAACATATCAGTGCAAGGTAGCACTATAATGGTCAAAAAATTGACTTGGTCTTCTGGAATTTGACCTGACTTTTCTCGATCCATCAAAGACAATGGCTGTAATCCCAGCGCTTTTTCCTTGTCACCTTGATTGTAGAACTCGGCTGAAAAAAAAAAACAACTTAATATTTAGATAGATGTCATTTAAAAAGCATTTCATACTGATAACATTATCAGTGAGTCCCTTGGCGACCATATAAGGTTTACAAGAACCAGATAAATCGCAACTAGTCATCATAATAGCTTTGGAAAGGGCTCTGTGGCTTTTATTATTCCAGTCGATTCCGTGATGTTCATTGAACACTTGGATCAACTTCATGCGGACTTTAAAATAATTAGCCAAATCTGTGGCTAAAATGGAGTGTCTTATTTCCTTATCGATTAGTTTCCAGATATTGTTGGGGACTTGGTAAAAGGAAAATACCTAGAATGTGTTACTTTTGTAAAAATTTTATGGGCAAGAATGTTTGTTACCTTGTAGATCAGGAGTGCAACTTGATAATGGTGATTTTCCAAAAACGATTCGTCGTATAATTGGGATAGAGTGTCATCGGTCAACTGTAAAAAGTTATTTGTGTAGCCTCCGTGGTCCAAATCGTGGCACAAACAGGCTATAACTAGAGACTTGATCTGGGAAATGAAAATATTATAAAGCCTATAAAATAGAACATGCAATTCTATGTATGTCATGGACATTGAACTACTGAGAAGAGATTGAGCAGAAAATAGTGCCTTCATTTGAACAGATAAACCCACTTTAAGAAACAGGTGATCACTATTTAGAACTCGAATGTTCTTGATGTTGGCTATGACACTAATCTTTAATTGGACATGTATTATTCCATTCCATATGATTAAGAAAGGTCGTCACTTAAAATTAGCTATGTGGAAAATATTTAAAAATTAAGTAAATGCTCCTAAGGTTTTTTAGTTTGGTACAAACTCTGAATAGTTATTTATGTTTACTCCTTGGTTAAATTTGGCGGAAGTCCCAAATCCCATAAGAGGTGTGCGGGGTCCTTTTGCCGACAAAATTTTTTCTCTTGTGATATTATATACAGGGTGATTCAAAAGCAAGCGGCATCCTTTCGGGAACGTATTTCTTGCATAAAAATAAGACAAAAAGTTACCCCATTCGTTTGGAGAAAAAATAGCGTGTTGCATACGGAGTAGAAGCACTTTTTTGTGCTTCAGCAGTATTGCGAGCCGAACGTAGTGAGGCTTGCTTCACTACTGCTTCAGCACAAAAAAGTGAAGCTTCTACTCCTAATACAACAATATACTATTTTTTGCTGTTTGTGAACCAATTAAAGAAGAGTTATTTATGTATCAAGGGTACAACGTAGATGATTATGCCCTGATTGCGACAGTCTTACAAAGCCGAGGGCCTCTGGCCCGAGGGATCGTAAGTCGCCCGAGGGTATATGTATCTATTAGTACCCGTGGTGCATACAAATTTTTATGTCATACCAGTTGGTTGTGAATAATAAATACCTGGGAAAAAAGTGTCACTTCGCAAATTGTCATCAGTGTACAAACATCATAGTTTTTTGACAAAAATAATATGTTTATCAGCGTAAATTTATATTTTGTTAATAAAAAATAAGTTAATTGAAAACTGTTTTTTGCGTCTTTATGCCCGCGCGGGCCATAATGTGTATTTTATGCCCGCACGGGCATAAAGTAATGAATTATGTAGTTTGTATATAAGGTATAAAAACACAATAATGTATTGGTATGACATAAAATATAATATTTATGTGATTTAGGGCGGGTATTATAAAACTATATTGTCAGAACAACTAAAAGTCAACTTCTGGAATGACGATACTTCTTGTGGTAATTCCAGAATTTAACTTTTAGTTTTGTGTCAAAATATGTAGTTTTATAATACCCGCCCTTATACATATACATACAACATAATATGTACGTCCTTATAGTTTTTAAGGTTAATGCTCACCTCAATGTCAGTAAATAAATTCTTATTTCTCAAACAGATATTGAACATACAATGGGCAACATTGAAGGCATGCTCCCAATTATGATATGGGTTGGGTCTATAACATTTTCTCACAGTCAAAATAAAATCTCTCAGGAGATTGGTATTTAGATCTTCAAAACCAACAATGGTTTTTATCATGTAATATACCATTTGGGGCATTATTGGTTCTTCTTCAATGGAAATATACCATCTGAAACTAGATTTGAAAAAAAATAAATACACTAGAATACAACAGCATTCCTCAACATACTCCCTGAAACTACTGGGTATTAGAACTTCTGTATTTTTGTCAAACGATTGTATGTCATGTACGCAAGGCTTAATTTGTAAACTAAGAAGTTTCAAATTTGCTTCATTCGAGAGAGCCTGAAAAATTGAAAATTAGGCAAATAATCATCGAAGGAAGCTATTTCCTACTGTTCGCTTCATTTTAACATTAAGTTTGGCATAATGCAAAGCAAGGGCACAATAAACTGAGAAAGTTTTGAATAAATTTTCATCGGATGGTGTAAAAACTACTCCATTCAATTTATTAACCACCTGAACCACACCTAGAAATATTTATTAGTGAAAGTAGCCAATTATGCACAAACATACAAACCTAAAATATTATCAAGGCTCACTATAGGCATACACAAAATAGATCTGGTGATGAATCCTGTTTTCGCCTCGACAGGAGTGAAAAATATGGGATCATTGTAAGCGTCTCTTAAATTTATTGTACGTCCAGATCTAGCGACTAAGCCAGGTATGCTACGGTCTATGCCTAGTCGAATTTTATGGTTTTTCTTGTGCATCGTGGTACCAGTGCCGTCGATGCCTTCGTCAAAAACTTCAGCAGTCATGTCAGAAGAATCGGGATCGATGATGAAAAATGAGCCACGTTCAGCTCCCAAAGTCGCTTTAGCAAATTTCTGAAAGGGGAATATTAATATACTAAGGCGTAGTTCTAAATTTCATACAAAAAGCCACTTTCTTAACAGTGCAAAATTGTTAAATGAGTTCATCCACCCCTTTACTAACTTTTCTATTAATTTGGAAAAAGTAAGTTGAAGCAACGGTTGCAGTTTTGCAGCTGGAAATCATCTCAGATACAGTTGTAAAGTGTAATTCATTGACTCAGGTATAACGCCCTATGGTCGCGCCTCCTATTTAACCACGTTTACTGTAATATTTCTTTAAAAAATAGGATTTTTAGACCAATTCTTACCACAATTTCCGTAATCAGTTTTTCCAATGACACATTATCAGCAAAATAGTACTTAATTAAGTCCAAAAGGTAATCATTCAGTTCTTGTTGCTTCTGCAAAGACAATCGCAACCGATTCTGATGAATTGCTGCCCCCATCCAACCTGATACCACAATAGAAATTTTCAAGTCATCTTTACTAAAACTACCCTCTGGAACGCTTTTGTACATTTCTACTATGGCATAGCATTCGCCGTCTGTTGTCACGATTGGGACACACAGAACAGATTTGACCATCTCATCTATAATAGCAAGATTTAGAATAAGAATACGAAAAACTTGGTTTACCTTGATAGCCTAATCCAGCTGGAAATCTTTCATCACACAAAATATCCTCAACCAACACGAATTCCTTTTTTAAGGCTACAAAGGCGGCTACAGTGCTGCCTTTCTGTATTCGCCAGTTCACTTTGTGTCTCTCATCAGTGACATTTTTTGGTACCTGATAAATTTCTTCGGATGCACTATCCACCATATAAAGTGTCGCACCTGTATGAAATTATGTATGAATTAAATTATACTGAATCAAGGTAGGTAAGAGTTTTACCGCTTGCTCTAGTAACAACCTTCAAAACCTGTGCAGTTTCTTGTAAAACCGAAGCCAAATCGACACTGTCTGATAGAAATGAGGATAAATCTTGCATCAACACACTTGGTTTATTTTGTAAATAATAACTAAACTTCGCGTTCTCTTGCACTTTGTCTATGGCCCCCCTACTTTTCCTCACTATTTTCACATACGGGGCTATCACTCTTCGTGTTGCCTTGTCGGTTGTGTCCAGGGTCATTTGTTGTTTTAGGTTTTTGTTTTTCTTATCGCGTCCGGCCATTGTGGTTCTTTATTTAAAATTCAGTATAGGTATTTTAGTGTAGAAAGTTTTTTGTCAAGTTTTGACATAAGTTGTTGTAAAAATAGGTAACATAGGTATTTCATCGAAGGTTAGAAAGAGGTATCCAACAAAATCTTTAACATGTAAAATAAAAAATAAACAGAGGCTTAGCAAATATTCTATTTCAAGGCTTAAAAAACTTAACAACATAAATTTATTATAAATAAGTATTCCGCCCCTATGGATATATATAAATTTGTCTAGCGAGACTACAGACATGCTTTAATTTAGCAGAGCTTGGGAAAGACCCAAATTTGTATAACTTGTGTTATTGACGTTATTGTTGTGCTACCAAATCCATATAACATTTTTCAACTGTATTCATGATAACCATTCATACCAATTGCCCCTTATAATAAAATTAGCTAAAGGTGACCATATTTTAAAAGCGTAGTAAAAAGATTTGTTAACTAAAAATACTGTAGTATCATTTATATATGCCACTATCTTTAAAATTTCTTAAAATTATCACAAATGTAGCATTAGGTAGTAAAAAGAAACAATTACATACATAGCAAAATTAACGTATAAATGAAATGAGATTATTTTTAGAAGAAAAAAAAAAAACCTACTATCAAAATTATTTGGGCAAATAAATCTAAGATCCATAATGAGACTCTTCCAAAAAAATACTATTTGTACTCAATAATTCTCGTACATGAGTTGACTGTTGCAGATCGTTAAAGGTTTGGATTCTTCTGTATAGCACAGGACAATCCAACGATGAGCAGGAGATTTCGTCCAGACAATTGGTACAGGATTGACAAATCTGAAAGTAATTTTCGAATTTATTTATTTATGTATAAAAAAATACATACATTTGAAGTGGTATAAAGTTTTATTCTAAAATAATCTAAAAAACTAACCTAAAGCAATTCTCTTGGCTCGCGTCTTGAATTAATCTTGAGGTAAACTAAAAAATTCAATATCTTCATGGAACTTATTTACATTGGCATATATTTTATTAACAGGACTGAATAATAAGTACCAAGTACGACAGTAAGATTTACTTCGTCTCCGATAACTTTGAATGTGTAGATAAAAACATCCAAGACATTCGTGGCTTTTTATGTAGTAGTTAAGGATATTAAAAGCAAAACGAAAAAGAGTAGTTAAGTCTTAGTAAGTCATAGTCTGTTCAACGCTGAGAATCACACTACTCAGAGGCAGTTTGTACCTAGAAAACTTGATAAATTTGTTTTACACACTCTCAAGCGTATTGATGTGGATCTGATAGTAAGGTGACGAAAGGAAACCTTACAGGCAGGGGCGTCGCGTCGGGAGGTAATGGGGGTAATTACCCCCCCCCCCCCCCCGCCCAGGATCCAAAATTCAAGGGAAAAATCACGATGCCCAAAAGAAAATAATAATATTAAAGAAAATACATTTTTTTTTGTTTTATTTTCCTCACAAAGTAAATTATCGTTCTGGAAAAGTGAATGACCTTGAAATTGGCAAAATATTTCGCTTGCGGCGTGTTAGCGGGGGGTCGCATTACCATTACCCCCCCTCAGACTGCAAGTCACGCGTCGCCACTGCTTACAGGTGAGTCTACTGAATCTTATACAACAATACTTATCAATGTTGAGGAACATGTCATTAAGCTGACACCAATCATAAACATTGTTAAGATCATTTTGCAAAATAAGTATGTCTTGAGCTGACGTCATCTAACGATACAACTTCGAGTCATCAGTAAAGAGTAAAAAATAATTCGAGCCAACGATCCTAAATCATTGTTAAATAGGGTGAATAGAAGGGGCCCCAAGTGAGAGCCTTCGGGGTACCTCAGAGGATGCATGGAAACTAGAAGAAAGATAGCCATGGATCTTGACTTGTTACATTCTGTGAGTAAGGTAAGATTTCATCCATGAAAGTAGGCGTCCAGAAACACCATAAGTTGAGAGTTTTGAAAGAAGGATGTTATGGTTAACCTTATCAAAGACTTTACTGAAGTCAGTATATCTTGCATGAATTTCTGCATTATTATTATCAAATGATGAATTTATAAAATTTGTAAAAAGAAACAGGTTCGTATCAACAGATCTACCGGCTGTAAACCCATGCTGTTGACGGATGACAATCTGATGAAATATTTTTGAAATAATATTTTCAACGCACTACTCAAATAATTTAGGAATTGCAGACAGGATGCTGATAGGTCTGTAGTTTGTTACATCATTCTTGCTGCCTGACTTGTGAATAGGACAAACATAATATGAGAGCTTCCACATTTCTGGAAAAGTTTCAGAGTTTAAGGATTTGTTAAAAATAATAAAAAGAGGGAGATACGAAGTGTTTAGAACAAGATTTTAGTACTTTGTTAGGAAAAGCATCAGGTCCAGACTTGTTAATGTCCACTTGCTTTCAAGCCCTCTGAATATCGGTTGGGTCTATGACAATTCTTGAAACATTCTCAAATCGATCAGCAAAAGTTCTGGCGTAGGAATTTCTCTGGGGTTTATATTATTATTGTTTTCGAAATTTCACATAAGTACTTCTTATGGTCGTTCAAAGTGCAAAAGTCATCGAGTGCACACCGTGCACCTAGGACGAATTTTTGTTGTCTGATGGTCTGTTCTTCCTAAACTACTTCGCCTAGTGTCTTTGGGTGCGTACGATTAGTCCAACTACTGACACTTTTTACCCTGACCCGTCATTAATGTCGCACTTTTTACACCATTCGTACCGTTCAGCGTTCCATTTTCCCAGTAAGTTTAGATGATTGTGTTCCAAAACATAACTGCACCGCACTAACGCTAACCGGTTCAGACAAATCGTACGCACCAATTATATAACCTTTCGCACAATGTGTGCTGTTTTCAGCAAGACAGATTTTTGTAAGCTCAAGAGATAAAGTTTTCGGGGATATAACCACGAGAGCTTCAAAATTACCGATAATTTTTCACGATTGCGTGTTTTCTATAATTTCACGAGTCCGTAGGACGAGTGAAATTTGCAGAGAAAACACGCATGAGTGAAAAATTATCTGGTTCATTTTAAAGCTCAAGTGGTATTTAGAAGATTATTTCACCTATGAGAATGCAAAAAATATGGAAATAAATATGTATTAAACGATTTGAACATCTTAACAATCAATACAAATAAATGGTTGCTATCAGGAACCGTTTGTTTGTATCAAAAATTAGTGTGACAACCATGTATACAATAACATGGGAGAATTATCGCTGTAATTCTCTCTAGTTAAACAAATGGAAAAAAGAATTTTCGCTGTAATTCTGAAAATCGTCACTTGTCTTATGGGATTTCTGACACATGAGTGGAATAATCCTGGGATATCTTTCAAGGCTGCAAACGTGTTGTGGAATATCAGTCCTGTTACTCATATGCCCACCGGGACACTTTTAGTCTTCAGATTCCACATTCTCTCAATCTCTATTTGGAGGTCCTTGTATTTGATGTGTTTTTCTGCTTCTTTTTTAGTCACATTGAAGTCTGAAGGGATCGCGACGTCTATTAGTAGGCATATTTTCTTGATGTTATCCTTCAACACTAAATCTAGTTTATTTGCCTTAATTGAGCGGTCTGTTTGGATTTGTGTATCCCATATCAAGGTCGTCCCATTTTTTTGCACTATAGGATCTGGCTTGTGCTCGTACCATCTGTCTGAAACTTTGATTTCATAGTATTTGTAGATTTCCCAGTGCAGGTGGCAACTGTATTATGGCGTTCCAAATATTCCTTTTTTGCCAGAATCGAGCAACCTGACATGACATGATGGATGGTTTCATTTTCCGTCCTACATAGTCTACACTTAGGGTCTGTACCTGTTTTGATGATTTTAGCCTTTAGGTAATTAGTTGCTATTGACTGTTCTTGGCAAGCAGCGATGAGAGACTGTTTCCACTTTCAGTTCTTCATACTGAAGCCATTTCCACGATGGTTAATAGTTTCCTTTTCAGCTTCTCTAAGTATCTGGCCATGCATCTCTTTTTTTCCATCTATTTTTTGTTTCTTTTTTGATATTATCTCTCATCAGCCTTGAGGTTTTTCACTTGATTCGTTGCAGATGTAGTAGGTATCCTGTAATGTGTATCTGTTGGTGTACCTTCTTTCACATTTCGTGTGTTTTGCCTATATACCATGCCTAAATACTTATCTTGTTGTTTTAGCTCCAAGTATTTTACGAGCCCTATATTTGCAATAACGTGGTTGGCCTCCAGATTGGTTAGGTCTCTACCTACATCACGTCTGGGAACATACAGCCTGTCTACATCGGACCTTGGATGCAGCGCACCATGTATAGTTAGCAATTTCCTGGTTTTTCTATCAAGAGCTCTAATCTCCGCCTTTGTCCATTTCACGACGCCAAAGCTGTACTGCAGCACCGGAACTGCCAGCAGCACCGGAACTGCCAGCGTTGTGATGGCAGATAGTTTCTTAGCGTTAAGCTGGGTTTTAAGGATTCCTCTAGTTCTTCTAAATATTCACTGGTGAGTTGCTTTTTCATTCGATTGTGACTCATGCCTATGTTCTCCTCTACTCCTAAGTATTTGTAAAATTAGTGTTCTTCAAGTGATCGTATTATTGTTCTGTCGTCAAGCTGTACATTCTGTCTTTCTGTTATTTTCCCCTTTTTTATTGTTATTTTAGCACATTTGTCTAACCCAAATTCCATTTGTATAATTTCACTAAACTCTTTTACTCTCTTGAGTTGTATTTCAAGTTCAGTGTCGTCTTTGGCTATTAACTTCAGATCATTGATGAACAAGAGGTTACTTATTTTGGTTTTTTCATTTTTGCATTGTTACCCAGTTAGTGATTTATTGAGCATTGAGCTATGTGGGATTAGTGCAAGGCAAAATAAAAGCGGTGAAAGGGAATCGCCTTGATAAATACCATTTTTGATTTCGAGGTTTCTGACATACATCGACTCAGAGATTGTGGTCAGATGTAGATAGGAAATCATTGTCTCTGATGCCTTATATATCTTAAGGGATTCTAAAAGCCAACTGTGGGGGACGCTGTCGAACGCCTTTCTATAGTCGATCCACGCAATTGAGAGGTTTTTGTGGACTTTTCTGCAATCATCAATTTATCATCTTGCTGACTAAGAGGTGATCTTTGCATTCATAGGTGTTTTTTGCGCAGCCTTTTTGTTCAGATGGGAACAGACCATTAACCTCCAGGTGTGCATACAGTCTTGCCGTCATGATGCTGGTCAGACATTTATACATGGTGTTGAGGCAGGCGATTGGCCTATAGTTGCATGCTAGGTCCGTTTTCTCGTTTTTGGGCAGAAGATGTGTTGTCCCTTTCACAAACCATTCAGGTGTATCCATTGACCCTGTGACCATCCTGTTGTAGCAGTTCAGCAGTTTCTTGTGAGCGACTTTCATTCTCTTCAGCCAAAAATTGGTCAAACCGTCATTACCAGGCGCTTTACAATTAGAAGCTTTCCCCAGCGTCGATTCAAGTTCTTCTGCCTCTAGTTCATTCCATTGCATTTTTTTAATTTCAGTGTTCTGTCGATATTCTTCTTCAATCCAGCGGGCATTCTTGTTATGTGTGCCTTTCCTTTTCCCCATATACTATTCCAGTAGGCTTCTATGTTTCTACATTTTTTTTTTTTTGGTTGGCCTTATTTACGGTCCCGCGGCTCCGACACTTACACGGGTGCAAGTAGGCCTGGTGTTCCATTCACCGTTCTACTCCCCACCAACCGCAAGGTTAGTAGAAATGGTGTTCCGCATCGTGTGCTCTGACTAGACGCAATGATCCCAGGATGACCGCTTTCTGCATCGTGCC